ACCCTGAGGGTCCCCTTGGGGCCTGTGGCCTCCTCCTCTTGCACCTCAGAGACGGCGACCCAGATGGAGCCCATGGTTCTGGGCTCCACGCAGATGGAGCCCCTGGCTCAGCTGCGGGGGCTGTCTGTCCCTTTTTCAGGCTCTGGGGACTGGGAGCATGGCTACCTCCCTTTGTGGGGTCTGCTCCCTTTTGGGGTCTCTGGCGCACCAGCTGGAGGAGCCACAGTCCAGAGACTGCGTGCCATCAGGGACTGTGAGCAGGAGATAGACTCCTACTGCCAGGCCTTTCTCCCCCAGGATCCAGAGTGTAGACCACGGTCTCCCTCTAGGACAAGGGAGGACTCAGGGACCTCCTCTTCTGTCCAGCCAGGGGGATGGACCAAGGTGGCCAAGGGCCCTAAGGCCCACCGCACCAAAGACCCACCCCGCCGGAGCTTAGCAACAGGTACGAACCTCTTGCAGCCCCAGTAGATCCTCCTGAGTTGCCAGCTCCCGCAGGCAACACATGTTCAACTTCAACTACCGCCCCCACTCTCCCCAAGACAAAACATAAAGTGTTTGTTGTGGGAGACTCCATCCTGAGGGGGACTGAGGGGGTAATCTGCTGCCCTGACCCCTTAGCCCAGGAAGTCTGCTGCTTCCCAGGGGCCCATATCCGAGACATTGCGGAGAAGATCCCTAAGCTCCTCCAGCCCCCACAGACCACTATCCCATGCTCCTTATTCATGTGGGCACCAATGACACAACTTGGAGTGCTCCCAGCCAGGTCATAAGGTGCTACAGGGATTTGGGAGCAGGGCTAAAGGGTCTGGGGGCACAAGTGGTGTTCTCTTCAATCCTCCTAGGCTTGGGGTATGGGCTCAGGAGGGAAAGGAGGATCCAGGTAGTGAAGCAAAGATTGCAGCACTGGTGTCATTGGAAAGGCTTTGGCTTCCATGACCACAGCCCGCTCTTTGGTGAGAGAGGCAGTGAGCTGCTGGGAAAAGATGGCCTCCACCTCTCTCCACTGGGGAGGAGGCTTTTCTCAGCCAGGCTGACCTGCTCTACCGAGCTTTAAACTAAGTCCACCAGGGGACGGGAAGACTACTGCCACTGCTGGCCCACTGAGCAACCCTTGCAAAGCCAGCAGGCCAAGGCTCTTAAGGGAGCCTGCCCCTGCCCCAGCTCTGGTACAATCTGTGAGCAAGGCAAGAGCCCCCAAGGAGACACTTGCCTGCCTGTACACAAATGCCAGGAGCTTGGGGAATAAGCAGGAGGAACGTGTCCTTCTGCTTAACGCAAATAATTACAATGTCATAGGGATAATGGAGACCTGGTGGGACTCCACCCATGACTGGACCATGGGTATAGATGGCTATAACTTGTACAGGAGAGATCGAGTAGATAAAAGGGGTGGGGGTGTAGCTCTCTATGTTAAGGATAACTATGCATCCCTGCAAGCTGATGTTAGTGACCAGGGTGGATGACTAGAGACCCTCTGGGGTAAAATCCATAGGGAACATGGCACAGGGGATGCAATGGTGGGAGTCTACTACAGACCTCCCTCCCAAAGTCAAGAGCTTGACCAGGAGTTCACCCGGGAACTGGCTGAGGCCACATGCTCCAGGACCCTGGTTGTCATGGGTGACTTCAGCTACCCTGACATCTCATGGGAGGATCACTCAGCAAAATCCGAGTGGTCGCAAAGCTTCCTATCGTGCGTGGATGACCTTTACCTGACTCAAAAAGTCTACAGGCCAATGAGAGGTAAAGCGCTGCTCGATCTGGTACTGGGTACTGGGGATGACCTAATTGGTGACCTAGTGATCGATGCAAAGCTCGGTGACAGTGACCATGAGCTGATCACCTTCACCATCCACTGTAAAGCTGGCAAATCAGTCAGCAACACTGAAGTCCTTGACTTCAGGAAAGCCAACTTTGACAAGCTCAGGAGGCTTGTCAGTGAGGCCCTAAGGGACCATGACCCCAGGGGGAGTGGAGTTCAGGAAGAGTGGTTGCTCCTCAAGGGAGTGACCCTCAATGCACAAGCTAATTCTATTCCATCTCGGAGGAAAGACAGCAAGAGGGCACAGCAGCCCTCCTGGCTCTCCAGGGATCTAGCAGACCTCCTGAGGCTAAACAGAAAGGCCTACAAAGGATGGAGGATAGGATTCACCTCCAAGGAGGAATATTCTGCACTGGTCCGGTCCTGTAGGGAGCAAACCAGGAAAGCCAAGGCTGCAACTGAACTCCAACTAGCTTCGAGTATCAAGGACACTAAAAAGTCCTTTTTCAGATATGTGGGGAGCCGGAGGAAAAGCAAGGGCAGTGTTGGACCTCTGCTAAACCAGATAGGACATCCGACAACTGACGCCCAGGAAAAAGCCAACCTATTAAATGGGTACTTTGTGTCGGCCTTTCATCAGTCCCATGGGACGCCCATGCTCACTACGGGACAGGGAGGTCTGGGTGAGGGAGATCCCCTGCCCTCCATCAATGCTGACCTCATTAAGGAACACCTTGAGAGGCTGGATACCTTCAAGTCAGCCGGCCCTGACAATCTACACCCCAGGGTACGCAAGGAGCTGGTGAGCATCATAGCCCAGCCCCTGGCATGGATCTTCAAGAACTCCTGGCGCTCTGGTGTAGTGCCTGAAGACTGGAAGAAGGCCAATGTGGTGCCTATCTTCAAGAAAGGGAGGAAAGTGGATCCAGCAAACTATAGGCCCATCAGCCTGACTTTTATCCCAGGGAAGGTCTTAGAAAAGTTTATTAAAGAGGCCATCTTAATGGACTGGCCGATGGCAACATCCTGAGGGATAGCCAGCACAGGTTTGTTGCGGGTAGGTCTTGCTTGACCAATCTCATTACCTTCTATGACCAAGTGACCTAACACCTGGACAAGGGAGAAGAGATTTTTGTCATAGATCTTGACTTCAAAAAAGCCTTGGATCTGGTATCCCATGATCACCTCTTGGCAAAACTGGTCAGTTGTGGCCTTGGGTCCACCACAATCCGCTGGCTGGGGAATTGGCTCCGTGGTCGGACCCAGACAGTGGGTGGGATTGACGTAAGTCAATCGTTATGGTGCCCTGTGACCAGTGGGGTCCTCCAAGGCTCTGTCCTGGGACCCATATTGTTCAACATCTTCATTAATGATATGGACATTGGAGTCAGAAGCGGACTGGCCAAGTTCGCCGATGACACCAAACTTTGGGGCAAAGCATCCACACCAGAAGATAGGAGCGCAATCCAGGCTGACCTGGACAGGCTCAGAAAATGGGCGGACGAGAACCTGATGGTGTTTAACACTTAAAAATGCAAGGTTCTCCACCTTGGGAAGAAAAACCTGCAGCATCCTTATAGGCTCGGCAGGGCTACACTGGCTAGTACTATGGAAGAAAGAGACTTGGGGGTCATCATTGAGCACAAGATGAACATGAGCCTGCAATGTGATGCTGCAACTAGTAAAGCGAGCAAAATGCTGGCTTGCATCCATAGATGCTTCTCAAGCAAATCCCAGAACGTCATTCTCCCCTTGTATTCAGCGTTGGTGAGGCCGCAGCTGGAGTACTGTGTCCAGTTTTGGGCTCCACAATTCAAAAATAATGTGGAGAAGCTTGAGAGAGTCCAAAGAAGAGCCACACGCATGATCAGAGGTCAGGAAAACAGACCTTACGACGACAGACTGAGAGCCATGGGGCTCTTTAGCCTGGAAAAGTGCAGGCTCAGGGGTGATCTGATGGCCACCTATAAGTTTATCAAGGGTGCCCACAAGTACCTGAGGGAATGTTTGTTCACCAGAGCGCCCCAAGGGATGATGAGGTTGAACGGTTATAAACTACTGCAAGACCATTTCGGGATGGACATAAGGAAGAATTTCTTTACTGTCCAGGCCCCCAAGGTCTGAAAAAGCCTGCCATTGGAGGTGGTTCAAGCACCTACATTGAACACCTTCAAGAGTAAATTGGATGCTTATCTTTCTGGGATCCTATGACCCCAGCTGACTTCCTGCCCTTCGGGCTGGGGGCTGGACTCGGTGATCTTCTGAGGTCCCTTCCAGCCCTAATGTCTATGAAATCTATGAAACCTTGTGATGAGTGCATATGCATAAGGTGCAGAATTAAGGTTGTACCTCTTATATCTAGCTCTCAGCCTTTCAGTAGCAGTAGGTACTATAGCTGGTGAGAGTGCATGAATTGCTTAAGATTTCTATCCATGCTACAGTAATCTCTGTACTGGATGCTAAGCCACAAGTTTTCATTACTTGCTCTGAGTAACTAGACCAGGAAATACAGGATTTAAGTACTGGCACCAGAATCTCCTTTATTTCTGTCTCCAGTTCAAAGTCTATTAAAAGTCAGTCCTCTGTTTTCTTTCAGTGAGATTTGGATTGGGGCATCTGTGCATGAGGAGGAACTATAACACTTGAATTGTGGTTCCTTCTGCTGCACTCATTCACTCCAACTCACTCATATTCTCCATGTCAGTAGTTAATATTGTACCAGACTTCTTTTGCACCCTCAGCAGCATCTTATGGAGTAGTGGTCTAAAAATTCTCAGAGTAGAATTTAAATCTCTGGTGAACCAGAAATCAGCATAGTTAGTCATCATTTGATAACAATAATCCTCTTAGGATCCAAATGGTCATCTGCCCAGGATGTACTTAGAAGTCCATGGGGGTGTTTGTGAACAGGCAAATCCCATTCACTCAATTTATACTGCTCTTTTAAATAAAACATTTATCAAGGAGGGAATGGGACCCATGGATGATTAGGGTTGAAGATGATTCATGGTGGGAATATCAGTGAGCCTAGTAAAGCTAGCCATACCACGTCTTAGAAAACAATAATAATATGGGGATTGAAGATGCAGAAAGAATTAAAGGACCTTCATTTATACCCTTTAATCTCTAAATATAAACAAAAAATAGAAACTGCTTTAATTTCAGTCATTACTACTAATTATTTATCAATATAATGGAATTGTCTATTCACCTATTTTTTCCTTTTGCTCTACAGCCTCCTCCACAGATATATGACAAACAGCTGGATGAAAGGGATCATACAATTGAAGAGTGGAAAGGTAATCCTATTTTAAAAATATGCAGCATTCAGACCATATCTTGCTTTCAGACACAGCACTACAATTCCTCAATAAATCCTTTGAAGCATGGAAAAGAATTTCACCCCATGTTTTGTTAGTAAATAGACAAGAAGCTTTTTTTATTATTATTATTTTGCTTTTCACCTGCAGTCTCCAATGGATTAAAAAAAGAGCATGAAGAAGAGGTACACTTTCTCATTTATACATTTTTAATTTATGATAGGGTGTGGCCTAGTGATAAACTGGTTTAACGAATCTGGGTTTAAGTGGATAGAGCGGTAGTAAATAGACCTCATGTGGGCCATTTCTTGAGGGGTGAATTTCACCCCAGAACAATATTTTACAAGGTCCACTGATGTTGTTCATCAGATTAAACCCACCCACTGTTGGAATGTAGCAGCTTCTGGTTTGGGATACCACACCTGTTTTAACAGTATTTCCACTGAACAGAAATTCAGGCCAGCAAGTGAAAAAGAAATGTATGCTCATTTGGATTTTGTTGCTGTTATTTGAAGTGCTATAACTAGAGCAAGGCAACTAGGCCAGGCACCCTGGTGCCAGCTTGGGGGGGGGAGGAGGGAGGAGGGGAGGGATGGAAAAAAAACAGCTGTTGTTATGGCCACACAATCACACTGGCAGTATGACCGCAGCAGGAAGTTTCAGCTGCCCCTGCGTGTCATGGCTGCCCTGGGTGCCCAGCTGCATTGTTATACCTATGACTATTTGCATCAATTAACATTTTTGGTATATGATTTGACACATGGTCCACAGTGATTTCATTGGAGCTCCCCTGGTAGAATGGCACTGCTGCACATGGGTAAAATGGCAGGATCTAGTCCTATATTTATATGGAGAGAACTACTGAAATTGAGGCGGCAGGCAGCTGACTTCATTGGCCAGTTGCAGGGCCTGCTGCAGGTTTATCATGGTAGGGCTCCCTATGCCCCCAGTGGCCCCACCCCTAACTGCTGATTGGTCAAGAGGGCTGTCAGTGATGCAGCTCAACCACTCACCACCGATTGGATGTGGTGGGGCTGTGTGACAGGCAGCCCTCTCAGCCAATCAGCAGCGAGGGACAGGGGTAGCCACCGTGTTAGTTGCTCCCCTTCACACTGGCAGCTCAGCCCCCCAGCCATACAGGCTGCACGGCTGAGCTGCAGTGGCCATAAGGGTTTTTATTATTTTATTTTTAAGGGGGGTTTTTTCGCTGATTTTGCAGACCGTGCCTAATTTCATAATTGCCACCAAATCGTGACTTGAGTAGGTCCCTGTTTATACACATCCTTTCCTGATGCAGCAGGTGCAGTTTAGTGAAATGTAGAGCAGCTGATTCTTACACTAATTGAACTTGAGGGGATCACTCAGGGAATATAATACTATTCAAAAGGATAAGGTGTTGCAATTGGGTCCACTGTAAGCAGCACTACAGTTACTGTGCCAACTTTATGTATGAACAGTAAATATTAAAACAACTCAATTATTGTGCTTTGCCATCTAGGCTTAAAAGCATGAAAAAGAGTGGATCTTGGACATAGGAGAGACTCACTAAAGCTTAAGTGAGCAAAACGAGGCTGTCAGGATGCCAGAAATCTCTCTCATTTTCCAGGGAATAAAATAGGGCTGATGAGCATAAGAAGTAACAGGAAACAAAACCCACACTGGTTACACAAATACCAGTCATGCATGGAGAAAAATTGGTTTAATACTTGCATTCTTATATGACAAAATCATCTGGAAAGGTTTCACAAATGTCAATATGTATAGTTTAAAGGCTGAGATATGTGGCCTGTGGTAATATATTGTAATGCATTGAATCAATGGTTTAAAACTCCCCAGTGGGTTTGGTATGAAGAAACAAGTGACTCGAGTTACTCTTGTGCAGCATGATGAGTATGTTATGCTCATGTTTGCTTGGCAGTTGATGGATTCAGAATATGAGTTAAATGACAAGAGTTACTAAAGTGATAGAATATATGCCAAAGCAGGCTGTATGGGTTGAGCAGCTGGAACAAGGATAGAGAGAGGCCGTCAGCTGAGAAAGCAAGATGGTTGATTTAGAACCTAGCATACGTTTATGAAAGCATTATTTATGGCATTACAGTGTTTTATGAATGGTTCCTTTTATAATTGCGTTGATTGTCTCTCACAGAATTGATCTACAAAGAAGTAATGAATTCTGAAGAAAAGACTAAAAATGGCGTAGTAAAAGGACAGCCTTCTCCTTCAGGTACTCAGCCCCATTGAATAACCTTAATGTGTTTTCCACAGCACCAAGAGAGAGCCCAAATGCTGCAGTGGCCCCAGCATCTGAACCTGAAAATGTATTATATAATTCAGTGCTTTAAATGAGTCGAGTTTTATTAACTGAATGCCAGTGGCACATTAAGACTTAAAAATGGGCCACATGGATTCCAGCTGAGATTATCAAGGTTGTTTTGGGGATTTTTATAATGACTGTACAGCCACAACAGTGAGACAGCATTGAAGGGGAACTGAAGAATGGTTAACTGTTTCAGAACCACAAGGAAAAAGAATATCAGTGGTTCTAACTTACATTTTTTGTGAGGGATATTTTTATTTCACAGTATGGTGGTTAGAATGCTTTATTAGGGCTTTATGCTGTGAGCCACACAAATGTTAATTGGTGTGAGTGCTAGCCTGGAGTTTGGGGTAGTCAGACCCTTAGTCTAGAAGCCTTTTCTGACTGCCCCTCACAGCTGTGACTTGCCACTAAGAGGCCTGGTGAGCAAGGGCAGGACTAGGAGCTGTAGCTATGAGTTGCCACTATGGCAAATGGCTGACAGTGGTTTGAGATAAACCTGGCTGAAAATAATATCAGCCTTAACTGATTTGGCTCAAACAGGTTTATACAGTGTCTGTCCCAGACCCTTTGCTGGTTTAAGATAACCAGACATCCTGAGCATCCCAGTATGCTCTCTGGGCTGGGCAGGGCTCTCTGTTCCACTGCAGGGCTGACCCCTCCCCTCTGCTCCCTGGCTGGAGCTGTGGACAGAAATGCACAGAGCATCTGCCTGGAGCTGTGAGCTCAGCACAGACTTGTAGGCACACAGCATCTGCTTAGCTTCTCCCTGCTAAACAGGGATTATTCCCACCCCGCCATGCCTTTACGCAGACACCTCAGTATTAGCTAGCAGACCGCATGCTGACTACTGTCCATGCTGTGGGAGAGGACAGAGGCAGACTGGCTTTTTGGTGCAAATCCACACCAAATGTCCTTCCTTGGAAGAGCTGTTTAACAAGAGGTAAGGGAGAGAGGTTTTGTTTTCTTAATGAGTTGATAAACATAAATTTAGGTGTGATAAACATTCCCTTCTGGGCAGCTCAGGAGCAGGAGAATAATCAGTGTCCTGCAGGGGCCTGGCTATGTCCGACTTCAGCTCTGCCCTGTGGAAGCCAAAGGAGGGCTGCTCTAGTGACACCCCCTCCCCCCCGGCAGGAAACCTGAGCCTTAGGCTAGAAAGCCTGAGCCACTGCAGGCATGTCCCTGCATTTCTGGGATGTCTATGTGGGTTACACACTGATTTAGCCTAGCCAGGCTAGACTAATCTACAAAGACTGAATCAATTCAGGCTCAGGCTTTTTGAATGTCTGCCCCAAGCCTACAGGGTTGGTGACCCAGGGCACGCTTCTATTCCTGCTTTAAGGTCTAGGGTGTAAAAAAATCCTGAGATACAGGAGGATTTCAGCTTGCACAGAACATCTCTTGGGTAGTGCAGATCAGAGAAAATCATGCCCTGGAGCAGCGTAACATTGATCTGCATATGAGTGTTTAAAACCACTTTAGGGTGTTAATCTGTGGACACTCCAGGGGTTAACAGCCTCCCAGAATTACCGTGTAATAAAACGTATAGTTTACTGGATTAGAAGGGATAATGGAACTAAATTCTCATTGGTTATAAAAGAAAATGATTCTACTGAAGTCCATACAATTACATCCTTAGCACAATTACAACCTTAGCACAGAATTTTGCATCAATTAATCACCAAAATTGTACTACGTGAATATCAAATAGTCAGGCGTATTACTAAATGTATCTTTTCAGTAATGTTAGAATAACCTACGTTCAATGTTGGTGGAGCTTGAGTACGAAAACAATTTAAAGCAACTATATTTTCAAATCGGGATCCTTGAAATGTCTTCACAAAAAGCTCACCAGCAACATGAATACAAACAGTGCCTGTGCACACAAATGGGTACTTCTGAAAACTTTAATTTTGTAGGTAAACAAGATGCCCAGATTTGATTATTTTGTTCCTGTTAGAAAGCCTGTCAGCATGGAACACACTCCAAACCATTCTTACCTCAAAGCATCATTATTAAATGTAATGTCCACTCCTTCTGGATGATTTGTGTCTAACTGGCAGATATTTACTTTTGTTTCCTCTTGTGTTTACTGTTAGCATTGAGCATGTTCACCTCATTATACCAATGGCTAAATAAACTAACCTTTGATGATACTGTGATTCCACATTACTTAGCAACAGGACTAGGAAGAGCATGACAAAAGTGTGATAAGTTAATGCAGTACTGATTTGGCAATACTAGGGATTCAATAGTGTACCTTGATTATATTTTGATGAAGATGGTATGAAAGGCAATTCCATGTGTTCCTGCAGAGTAGCAAGCAAAGTACAATATATGCAGGTTTGACTTGTGGAATTATGGTACCATTACTGAACAATAAATCTGAAGGGCTGACGGGTGTTTGAATAAATCCATGTTTCTTCACATATCTGCTGTAGAGCAGTGCTTGCATACTGATTTAGATGCAAATAATACCAGAGTTACTGGTTTGGGGAAATAATGTGTAGAGGCTAGCTAAGGACTATCTTTACATTTAAAGAAAATTTAACTCTTTCCCCATTTAAAGAAAATTTAACTTTTTCCCTATTCCGGTTCCCTGTGAAAGGTTATATTTTTTTTTTTTTACTGTGAAAGGTTTTTTAAAATTATTTATTTGCAACCACTTTTTAGCACAGAGAATTGTAATCTTTTTATGTGTTTTTCTTTTACCATTTTCCTTTCAATTACATTTTTCATTTTTAGCCTCAAGCAATTATAGCAACTCTCTTTAAAACTGACTTGAGGAAAACTGTTTTCTGAAAGAATATATTCCCTGGTTTCCATGTATTTTTATGCTTCAGATGGTGTTTCCCCCCCTATTTAATGTAAATAAGAAATAAATGCATCGGTTGCTAACATAAAGAGAAAGGAAAGAGATAGCGGATGAAGGTGGAAAGCATGGGGAGAGGGGAAAGGAAAATATTTCTACTCTTATTTTTTTTTAATTTAGTACTGTTGCTGTGATGGTCCAAGAAATATGTGCGATTATGCAAAATTACCCACCAGAATTCTTGCCTCTTTTTTTTTTTTAATTGTACAACTCAAACACTACACGGGCTGAAGATTGAATGACAGCATTTGCCAAAGAAAATAGCCTTCATAGAGTAGTACCTGGTGAAAATTGTCCAGGTTAGATCACACAGTGTATAGTCAATGGTGAGGGTCTGACAATTGGTGTTTCCTAGCAAAGCTTATAGTGAACAAAAGCTGTGTGTTCTCTGGGTCCACTTAACAAATCAGTATATCTCCCTTGACTTAGCATTGACTAAGTATCCAGGCCTATGAATTCATTCAGTTCATGTAAGTAGTGATTTAAGGAGGAGGCTTACTTCAAACTACTGGCAGGTGTTAAAATATGAACCAAATGAAACTCAAATCTACATGGATTCTGTCTCCTTTGGTGCATGTGGTAAGCTAATCACTTTGTAGAAGGTTGGCACAAGATGTGTGCATCAAGTAAGTCCTATTTTTATATTTTTGTAGCGTAGCATGTGGAAATACTCTTAGTTTACAATAAGACTGGGGGTTGCTTTGCTGAGGAATTGATACACTGGGTTCCACATTTCTCAGGCCTCAATTCTTCATTCCAGGACAGATCCATTTGTGCATATAGGATGGAGTATAAGGTGCTTGTAGATCAACACAGATAGCCACTGGTATCTCTTAGTGCCTCAAAATCATGTTATTTTTTTTGGAAATGCAACTTTAAAAATGAAATACTGTATATAGATATAAGGTCCATGGCATATGTTGCATTTAAGACATAATTAACAGGTTAATCACGCCTTATGTAGTAACTTGGCCAAACATTAAAGTTAATTTAAGGCATGATAATATAGTTAACGAGCTACAAAGTTATTTCATGTATAATATGGAACAACTTTGTGGTTTGTTTGTATTATGCCTTAAATTAAATGTGTGGCTGACTGATGTTGGCCCAGGACAGATTCTGACATTTAGCTGAATGTCAAGATCCAGCATGGGATAGCTCCAGGGCCCAGGAAACAGGTGTCCTGGAAGATTGATTCTAGGGTCCCTGGGTACTGGGACCATTAAAACCCCATGTGCCACTAAGATGGATTTTAACTCAGGGTTTTAACTCAGCCCCATCTCACAGGGACCTAAGGATCAGGCTGCCATAGTCTGATCCTAGCTTCCTGGTGCACAGGGACCCTGGAATTGGGTTGTGGCAGCTGAGAGTCAGAGCTGAGTTATAACCATGTACTCTGCACAGCTAAGTGGCACATAGGGTTTTAAAAGTCCCAGTGTACTCAGGGATTCGACTACAGCAGCCTGATCCTGGGGTCCTCATGCCTGAGGCAAAGTTAAAAACTCAGCTGGGGTTTTGATAATCAGCTGATTGTTGGCTGGCATCAGGGATCTGCCAGGGGCCAGTTTCAGATCCCAGTTGGGTCCCTGGCCCCCAGTTAACTATTGACACCTGGGTTTATTCTGCTAGTGCAGGGAGAATCTGGGATCATGACAAGCAGGGCACAATAGGCCCTAATCCCATCCCAAAATTGCATGTCCTGCAATGTACACAGTTGCGATTGTTGGGATTGCAGTTTATGGTGCCTTAAACTGTCAGGAACCTAATATAAATGTAGAATTTTCGGCTTGGGCACACTGAAAGTCAAAAACATTATCTTTATGCATAAATTTGCAATCAGTCACAGGTTGCAGGCTTACTTTTTTAAATAGTCTTCCCCTGTCTGTGCTTTGGGATCAGTGAGCACTTCTGTCCTACAAATATATCCAGATGTTTTGTATATCACTGAAATGTTTGCATTTCAGAAAAAACCTACTTGCATTGTGTTTCCCTAGCAGACAGTTTACACCTGGGGACTGTTTGGCTGCTTTGC